CGATTATAATGAGGTAGACGTGAAAGAAGACTATTTTGGCCCTAATATTGCGGTCCACGTATAGGAAGGCCGGCAACTTGAATGAGCTGACAGTCCCGTAATCGCTCCTATAGTTCAACACGTATTGTAAAAAAATTCAATAATTGTTTGCAATTTAATTTTTAAATGTTAATAAAAATAGTCTTAAAAATAGTCGTCTGTTTTAGTATTTGTTTAGAAAAAAGAGAAATAAAAATATTTTGTGACTTCGAGTCAATAGAAAGCTCTTAAGAATAAAACAAATTCTGTACACAAAGGGATCAAAAAAAAAATGATAAGTAATTTTTATAACGAGTGAAACAAAAATAAAAGTCCCAAAAAGGTTTAGCAAAACATTCCGTATTTACGGGTAGAATAAGTATACAGTACTTACTGGTAATCAATACCAGAATTAAAGTTTTTATTTAAAAATTCCTAAATTCTGTGTAAATATAGACAAAATGCTGGAATTTGATGATAAAATATATAATGCAGTATATATTTAATTTAAGTTATTTATTTGTTCTCGACATTAAGTAAACATTTGCCCTAACATTCACATAGAGTACCTGTTTTCTAAACTCTCAATAAAACCTATTGTCTAAAATGAAAAAATGCAATCCTATTTGTATTGAGTTTTATTTATTTATTCAACGCATTGAGCTATAAATAGGACAGACATCTAAAACAACGGGTGAGGCATACCTATAGAGATAAACCCAAACGAGACCAGAGATGAGAAGACACTGTTGTTTACCGAAACGCTTTGTCGACATTAGGTATGAGATAGCAATCTCACTTGTCTACTGATTTCGTGAGTTGTGAGCGAACAATAGCCAAAACAATTCGGTAACCGGCTACAGAAGTAACATATTATGCAAGGTTACCAAACTTTGGGAGTGGTTTTGGTTATACTTATGACCGGCCAACACTTGAATGGTTGTGTTGTCTTCAAGTGTGGAAAACGGGTCCACTAATGAAGCCATGGGTTGCCGTGCGTTCCGGCAATGGTTTCGGACTGTGAGTGACAAATGAATGAAAGCGATAGTCGCTGTCATATAATACCAAAAGTAATGTTCATTTTCCATATAACTGGTCGACAATAAAAGCACACAATTGAGTGATATTACGATTAACGCGAACACAGTTTGAATGTCATTGACTTTAGTCCATAAGATGGAACTCCTATTACGGAATTCGATGGCCAAGAATCCAATGATAGCCAAAACGGCAAATATTAGCGAAACAGTTAATAACGAGAAAAATGAATTCTCACTGAATTTAGTGAGTAATTGCATTTGAATTGATGCGATAAACTTGTTGTAAGAATCAGCGGCTGATTTGAAATGAAAGTCGGCGTTAAAATGAGTGTTGTTTTCATTAGTGATTAGATTTGCGTGAAATTTGAACGCTTTTTCAATCAATGACTTGTGATTTGGCGATAAATCAATCAACAGATTACTTATTTGTAGCGCATTGGCAAACATATGACACATTTGTTCGTCTTTTCTCATATGAAGTGCGTTCAACACGTTTAACATGACTTTCCCCAGACTTTTGTTGGGCAGCGGAAGACCTAAGAGCGCCGACAGCGTCGACGAGATGTCCACTTGTAGTACGCGTTCGGCTTTATGACCAAAGCTGTCGTAATTGGCGCTCACTTTGGTTTGATTAGTGCTCAGGAATATGAGCGCAGTGTCCGTCTCTTCGGGAGTGTTTCCGCCGTGGTTTCCGATATCAGTCATCCCGTGGTCGCCGGTTATCACAACTAAGTAAGGCTCGGACACGTCCGGCGCCGACACCGACGTGTATATACTTTTGATAACCGAATCCATTTCCAGCAGCTTCTTAGGCATCAGTCTCGAGTGATAGCCGCCGTGCGAGTGGCCGATGTGGTCGACGCCCAAGTAATGCATAATCATTACATCCCACTCCTTGAGGCGCTTCAGCTCCCGGTCCACACAATACGTGACATTAGTGTCGACTTCCGTGTAATCGGTGGCGAAGAAAGATGAGGTGCCGTTGTATTTGGCGAACAAGTGTTGCGGCAGTAACTGAATCCACGTCTCGTCGCCGAAGAACACCACTCTTTTGTTGGCTTTGAACGCGTTTTCCACGAGATTCTCGCCGTTAAACCGATAGGCGCTTAGGTTTAGTATGAAATCCATAAACGATGGCAGAGTGCCGCTGATCATCGCTTTGATCCGCGGCATCGTTACGGTGGGCGTCGCCGATATGGACACCAAACCCACGCCTAATCACGAGACATAACGTAAGACTAAACTCAAGACATTTTTAGGTCACAATCATACGTACCGTTTGTCTGCATAATAGTCTCCGTGAATGGCATCCGATGTTTAGCACCAGAGTTGCGACCCTTTTGGACGGACCTCTTGTCATCAATGGATGGGATAAAGTCGTGTCTTAAGGCGTCGATCACCACTAAAACCATTTTATTGAACAACGGTTTCGTCGCCCCCTTCGTCACCCGTCGCGCACAGTAGCCATCAATGGCTTTGTATTTGTCTTCGCGGCGCACGAAGTCCGCGGCTTTACTGTTGGCGGTGCTGTCCATCCCATTGGCGTGACTTGTGGTGAACACCACTTCCTCAGCCATTCAAAACACTAGATATGAGAAGCAAAGGTATGTCTGAATGAGAGATAAGACATTTGTGGGATTGAAGTGATCACTGGTTTGGTTTGTATTCAAATGCCATTCAATGCAAACGTATTGCCATTGAATCGGTGATTGTGTTTGCATTTGAATACAACTAAACCAGTGATCACTTGAATCACACAAATGTCTTACACTTTAACATAATCTGCACTTTCGTTGCATTGAAAACACATACAACTCATCAGAGTTTAGGAAAAGTTTTATACACTTTTCCTAAACTCTGATGAGTTGTATGTGTTTTCAATGCAACGAAAGTGCAGATTATGTTAAAGTGTAAGACATTTGTGTGATTCAAGTGATCACTGGTTTAGTTGTATTCAAATGCAAACACAATCACCGATTCAATGGCAATACGTTTGCATTGAATGGCATTCACTTTGATGTGATCTCTAGCTATAAGAGGAGCTGTTGTTTGAAATCAATGTTCACTCTGTCTGTAGGCCTCCAACAGTAGAGATGTCAGACACGGAACAGATTCGAGCTCTTCATAGGGCGACCATTGATAGTGTCATTACTGGAGCGATAGCTGACGACGAGTTGTTTAAGTATTTCTTACCGATGTATACAGTATTACATAAACTAATCATTCATTCACTTGTTTACAGGTATCTCATGCTTCAGATGAGGGACCGGTTTAACGATAATATGAAGGAACGGATCTGTGGTTCGTTTGATAGAGTCTTCTCTTCATGTTCTACACCAACATCTGGTGTACAGGAGATGAATATCAGTGAACCGGAAACTGAAACTGAAAACTGATTACTGTTTTAATATTTGGTTCACATTTCTCATCGTTTTTCTCAATGACTTAATAATTAACAAAAATTTGATTATAAGTGATAACAAGACTATAGGAGGGGTCGACATCTCAGAAATGGCTAAACATGCGGTCCTAAGAAATGGACACAAATATGGAGTTTCGGGTCTAAAGAACATGAAGAGTGCAGAAGTGGATCACTTGAGAGTCAGACTCTTAAATGGTGTCGAAGTGTCCGAAAGAGCTCTGCTTTTGAATTATGGAAACCAACGAATCGATGGCTTAAAGGTTGTGATCATTTGACTGTAAATTCTGAGATCAACTCCAATACTGTTAATGACATTAATATCGGAAATCTATCGCAAAGTCTTGTTCTCAAAGGATATAATAATTCAATCAATTCTATGAAAACATTTACTTCTAAAATCCGTTCATTTCTAACATTTTTTATTTGAATTCAATTAAAACTTTTGTTAATTTTTCTTTTCTAGTTTTAAGTGAAAATGTGAACCAAATATCAAATTTGTTATACATTTCAAATGAAATAAAAACAATTTTATAGAAAATCTATTAAAATCTTAAGATTTAATCATTTAAATCGGACTCTTGAAGGACAGCAAATCGACTCTTCGTTCGCACTTCTTGTTCCTCTTCATCGCTCTCTTCACTCATGTCTTCATTATCTCCAGTCATCACATTAGTGGCCATCTCTTCAAACAAATCCGATTCCAATGGTTGGCCTCTAATGGTCTCAATATATCTGATGTCTGGATGTGTGGACCAAATGGTGTCCTTCTGTTTGACATAATTCGGTGGAAAGAAAGCCAAACAAAGAGTGCGTCCGTCGAGAGCCATACGAAGCAATTGATTGGCCGCGCGATACACGTCAGGCCGGGCGGCTTTGGCCGTCAAAAAGCCCCGCTTTATAGCCCACGACTCGCAGATGTCATACGCAGACCACGGATGGACACCCGGCTCGTCGTGATTCGGATGAGTCAACCGTAAGATCTTTGAAACGGGTATTCGCTGTGATATATATCCGATGGCAGAGTAGGGTTCGCGCAGTTGTGCGATAGGATAGCATCCCATGAGAACCTGTAGCTCTTTGGGTGCTTTCGATGGGAAGACAAGTCCGGGACAGTCGCACAAGCGCACGGTTGGCGTCAGGTATATGGTCTGGAAGTGTTTGGTGTGACCGGGAGTTCGCGAGACACTCACGACTTTGCGACCCATAATGGCGTTCAGAAGCGACGATTTGCCGACATTCGGGTGACCAACACATCCAATGGTCACCACACCATCTTTGAAGCGTTCCGTTTGGTTGTAATAATTGAGATCCAGTTTCTCGTACTTCTGTTCGCACGCCTTCAACGGATCTCTCGACTCGTCCTCCGAGTCATCGCTATACTCATCGCGAGTTGAGGCTAACTCTTCGGCGCGCAATTCGTCTTCAATTTTGGACTTCCAGTTCGAGAGATCCACTCTTTGGCCGCAAATCCTCTGACAAACCGATTGCAGGTCTTTGGCCGCATTGGAAGCCATCCGCAGTTTTCCGATCCGTTTCTTATTGCTCTTGACTTTCATTCCCGCATAAGAAGCGAATGAAATGACATTCAATTCGGGAAACGTTTGCCGAAGATATTGAGTCCACGCGAGCACAAGAGGCGCCGCAACTAAATCCACTTTATTTAACACCAAAATCATGTCTTTCTTCAACTCATTCACCACATAGTCGTACAGAGAGGGCGGGAAGTGAAACACCGGATGCCGTATGTCTGCGATCAGTAGCACGATGTCAGACATCTCGAGGACGCGCCACAACTGACGCCACGTCTCCAGATTCACCTCAAAGTAACTCAATCTGTCGTTGCATTTGGTAATTGTGTCCAAATATTGCCGGAAATACCGGTGCTCTGAGGTCTCCAACTGAGCGGACGTCGTGTTTTGGTCCCATTTCGGCCGTTTCGGCAAATCCAGCGACGATTGTCTGCCATCACGACCGCTGAACACCTCTTCCACCGACACTTCCAACCGGTTTTCGGCCAATACTTCAAATGGTTTGCGACTCTCTTCGCGTCTTTCACTCAACTCTTGCGGCGACTCTTCGAAGAACTGAAGAGCGAATCGATTCACGTCTTTATGTCTGTCGACCGCCTTCTGGACATTCATGTGTCTGACGCCATATGCGGAGGAATGGGCGCCACTTTGCGAGACAATTGTCGTCTCCTCGTCGCCGCTCAACTCATTCGTGTCATCGCTTCCAACGCCAGTGTCTTCGCGGTTGTGGCCCTTCTTGTGGTCTCTCTTGTCTTTCAACTGTTGCCTCTTCTGTTTGGCACTAAACGGCACTTTTCGTCTTCCCTGAGGCATCGCTTCCAGCACTTCCCACTACTTTATGTCACTTTAAATGACAATTAACTGTAAATTACAATCACTTCTCGAAACGCGTTTCAAATGTTTCGTCAATTTGTTTACAATTTGTTGACACAAAGTATTCAAACAATTCACACGGAGTTCACGTTATTTGTGTGAAGCCCTCAATCATATGAGAAAACACCCGAAAATGTGACACCAATTCAAGTGACTCTTCATTTCTGTCACTAATTTGTGTTTTTAATCACAATTTAAACGCTATTTGAAAGACCATTGAATTGACGAAAAGACTACAAATGGAGACGAAAATGATTTGAAGGCATCGGACGAGTGATGCGAAAGACGAGACCAACAACTCATTTGGCGTTTACTTTTCAAGTCTTATGTTTTTCACACCAATTGTAATCGCATTTTGTTTTTATTTATTGATTTAAAAAAGTTTTATTGATTTGAAAGTCATATCACGTGTTGAGTGCCGGAAGCCATGAATAAGTTGTTGGCGAAGTCATTGCCGGCGATCTGTGTTGTCGTACAACTGCTATCAATGGTGTTGTTTGCCTTCAGCTTCTTCAACGCTGAGGAAGTGGTGTTCACCACAAGTCACGCCAATGGGATGGACAGCACCGCCAACAGTAAAGCCGCGGACTTCGTGCGCCGCGAAGACAAATACAAAGCCATTGATGGCTACTGTGCGCGACGGGTGA